CTTCAAGATCAAAGGTTCAACCCCACCAGCTGCTCCTCAGAAACCCTGTACAGAGTAGCTGTGAATCAGAACCGACTCAACAGCACTTAACAACAACAGTTAATACGTATTTATGATTACAAATGGCAAAAACATGACCAAACAAACATGTTGTTAAGGATTTGACAACAAAATAAATATCTCCTTCACGCTCAGAGAAGCAGATTTGACACTCCAGCCACCCTGTCATGTAAAGTTGAGCTGACACCCGATTTTCATCATCGGAACCAGCGTCTAGTGAACCCACTGGGGAGGCTTCCTCAATAGGAAGTAAGGAGACCAGAAGACCACAGGAGAATTACCCCACAAGCAAGGTAGCCAGCGGTCTGCTTGTGCTTAATGACCAATCTGTAGTGAACCTCTATGGCAAAACCTACGTGAAACTTCACTACAGATGAGTAAGTAAGCAGAAGTAAGCTGTGTTTACCTGCTGACTGGGTCCACTGATCCTGTCAGGGACTGTAAATTGGAAAAGTGGCTTTGATTCTGTAGAAAGGTGGGTGCTATGGGGTTGGGAGAGAGGCAGAGGGCAGACACTCCTACAAGCCGAAGCTTTGATGAAGTGTGTGTGTGAAACTGTTAGCTACAGATGAGTAAGTAAGCACAAGTAAGCTGACAAACCTTATGAGAAAGTGTTCTTTCCAGTCTTTAACATATGATTTGGGTATGGTTGGGGGCCGTTCTGTCCAGTGGTGTCAAAACACACTTGACCAAGTGATCTTAGGAATATGCTTTAGACCCTGGGCCCTCACCAAGGTCAGGAATCATTGTTGGAGAGAGTATCGGCTGGGGGCTAAGAACCTTGGTTTTAAAGCTTTCCCTACTGGCTATGTGAACTTAGCCAAGCTCCTTGATTCCATCTGAAACCCAACTGCCATTGAGTCAATTCCAGCTCATGGAAACCCCGCAGGACAGAGGAGAACTGCTCCAAAGAGTTTCCATCTTTACCAGAGTACACAACCTCATCTTTCTCGTCTGTCTCCCTTGGGGCAGCTGGTAGGTTTCAACTGACAACTTTATGGTTTCCAACCCAATTCCTAACCCACAATGTGATCAGACAGATTTCCTTGGATTCCCTCAGGGGAAGGCTTACGTGCTTTGTGTTTTGACAAACCATCTTGATATCCAAATAGTTTTCTGTTGCTTGAACAACTTTGTTGAATTTGAATAATGGTGTGAGTCAAAGTCAAATATCCTCACTCCTCACTTAGCGATGCGGTTAGTTTCCAAAGACGAGGTCGTTATGGGAAAATCAGTGTTGTACAAAAAAGAATGGAGGATGGCCCTATCAAATCACAAAATGGAAAATGATGACATCATCACACAACTGCCAAGTTACATCATTATCGAACTGCCAAACCACTGGGCATCTTGGGGCAGCTAAGCCGACACATGACCTGTCGCAGTCAGTGTGATCTTCTTCTCAAGCCTTTCACTCGTTACTCACACACATATGTCGTTAATACCCAAATTAGCTGGAGCGTTGATCAGGATTGGACGAAGACTCATTAACAAGCTGCAATATGCAGATGATACAACCTTGCTTGCTGAAAGTGAAGAGGACTTGAAACATTTACTGATGAAGATCAAAGAGCACAGCCTTCGATATGGATTACATCTCAATGTCAAGAAAACAAAAATCCTCACCACTGGACCAATAAACAACATTCTTATCAACAGAGAAAAGATTGAAGTTGTCAAGGACTTCATTCTTCTTGGATCAACTATCAACACTCGCGGAAGCAGCAGTCAAGAAATCAAACGACCTATTGCATTAGGCAAATCTACTGCACAAGACCTTTTGAAAGTGTTGAAGAGCAAAGGTGTCAGCTTGAGGACTAAGGTGCACCTGACCCAAGCCATGGAATTTTCAATAACCTCATATGCATGCAAAAGCTGGACAATGAGTAAGGAAAACCATAGAAGAATTGATGCTTTTGAGTTATGGTGTTGGAGGAGAATAGTGAAAGTGCCATGGGCTGCCAAAAGAACCAATAGATCTGTGTTGGAAGAAGTGCAGCCAGAGTGCTCCTTGGATGCCAAGATGGCCAAACTTCATCTCTCATACTTCGGACATATTGTCAGGAAGGACCAGTCGCTGGAGAAGGATCTCATGGTTGGTAAGGTGGAGGGTCAGAGAAAAAGAGAAAGACCCCCAACGAGATGGATTGGCAAAGTGGCAGCATCAGTGGGCTCAAGAATGGCAACAATTGTGAGGTTGGGCCAGGACTGGGCATTGTTTCGTTCTGTTGTGCACAGGGTCTCTATGAGTTGGTACCAACTCAATGGCACCTAACAAGAACAGCTGTCATGCATTTGAAATGTTGAAAATGAGCTAATGTATAAGGAATGTCTCAGTTCTTGTTAAGCCCTGGCTGATTTGATGTGGGTTATTTCTGCTCTAGACAAAACCTGAGAAAGAAATCCAGGAGCACAGCTTCCCTCAGGGGGTACACCACCAATTCCGCCTGAGCCAAGGGAGCAGCATCAAGTCTTCTGACATGGACGAACTCGTCCTGAGCACAGAGGAGCCCTTCATAGAGGCACCAGGTACCCTCGGACCTCGGGGCTGTCCAGGGCAGGTGGTGGTCTCCTGATATGCTGGAAAACTCCCGTTAAAAAGCACACCACTGCAAATTTCCTCTGCTTTCTGTCTTCTAACTCTTACACTAATCCAGTGAGGTGAGGATGTCTCCTTTCTACAGACAGTAACTCTGAGAGTCCCTCAGTAACATATCCAAGTACCTTAACCAAGACCCCATGGCACCCCAATCTCAGTTCCCTGGTTCCCGTTTCCCAGTGCCTCCTGACCTGCGAGGGGGGTGCTTTACTGGCAATTCTTCCTAAACCTGTGTCTTCCCAGCACACCCCTTGTATCCCAGAGGAATGTTGTGTCCTTGGAAGGGCAGATAGGAACTGGATTCATTTCCTGGGGTTGCTGTAACAAAGTTCTATAAACAACAGAAGTTTATTCTCACAGTTCCAGAGTTAGAAGTCCAAGATCAAGTTCATATTCCCTCCAAAGGCTCCAAGGGAGGACTCTTCTCTGCCTTTCTCAGCTTCCAGTGGTTTCTGGCATTCCTTGACTTGTAGCTACATCACTCATCTCTCTGCCTGTCTTCACACAGCCAGCATCCCTCTTTGTCTCGTCCCCTTTTAAAAACAAGTCTCAATGCTGTCTGCTGTCCTCCACCCCACCCCGCTCTCCCCCCCAGAGCTGACTGAAGCCCACCAGAGTGAAGCAGTACAGCCCCCCTTTCTGGACCACCTCCAGCACCTAAGCACAGAGGAGGAGGAAGAGGCCCTGGTGGATGGAGGAGAGTCTGAAGGAAGCAATGAGGCAGATGAAGAGTCCCAGCTGGTGGTTTTGGACCCAGCTCATGTAAGAGAACCATCTTTGCAGGGTTTACCTCTGCCTTCTCGGGCATCTAGAACCTTCTCTGCAACACTTCCTCCTCCCCCCCCCCTTCCATGGAGGCCTCCCCTCTCCTCAACTGCGGTTTTTCTCTCACTTGTCCAATACACTGCTTACTTTCTTGTTTTGGGTCTGCTGTTGAGTAATGAATACGCTCCCTTCGTATACTAACTGGGGTTTCCCAGCTTGGACACAGTTGACATTTCAGGCCGCATCATTGTCTCCGGTGGGGGCTGTCCTGGGCATTGTAGGACGTGGAGCAGCATCCCTAACCTCTGTCAGTAGAGCACACGTCCTCCCCTGGGACACTTACTATTCTGGACACACTAGCCAGAGGGTACACTCCTTCCTTGTTCGCCTCTCTGGCCAACAATGCAAAGGCATATCTTGATTGGGTGACCCAATTTGGGAAGCTGATGCTCCCTTGCAGGAAAGTTCTCTGGGGGCTCATCACCCTCCTACCCAACTCGCGGGACCCCTGTCAAACTGGTACTAGCCTAGGGCAAGACCACAGCACATTCATTTGTGCTCCAAAAGTCCCAGACGGACATGGGGGGCTCCCAGCATGTGCACCGTGTGTGTTCCAGCCAGGGGTGGGGCAGTGTGGTGTGGGGTACCCCCTGAACTGAGCAGCGTGTGACAGCGTGTGGTCTCCCTCCTTCCAGCCTCTGATGGCCAGATTCCAGACGGCGCTGAAGAGCTACCTCACCCGACAGATCGACAAGCTGAAGCTAGAACTCCGGGAACTGGTGCGTCCCGTTCCCCGACCCCCGGCCACGCGCCCGCGTTCCCCGCCCCCAGTGACCCGCTTCTCTCTGCGCAGACCGCGGCCACCAAGCAGACGCACGCCCAGCGGCAGGAGATGGGCGTGAACCTGTACGGCGTGCAGCAGCACCTAGCGCGTCTGCAGATGCTGTTGGAGCGCAGCCACGACCGCTACTCGCTGGTAGCCTGCGAGCGGCGACAGGTCGAGGAGGGGCTGCAGGGCGCGCGCTGCCTCTACACGCGGACCCACGCGGCTGCCCTGGAGGAGCACAAGAGGCGTAAGGCGGCCCCTGCTGTCCCGAGGCCCCTCACACCCGCGCCTCCCCAAGATCCCTTCAGCCCTCGCATCCGCTGCAGCCAAGTGTCCCCAAGGACACTCACCCCACACTGTTCACCTGCACTTCCTCACACCCCTCCCTTTGTGTCAGCCCTCTGTAACCACGTGCCCCAGCTCCCTAAGTCTCCCGAGGCCCCTCCCCTGATCCTTGGGGACGACTGCGTGTCCTTGGGCTACTGGGTCAAAGGACCACAAAGCAAGGGACTCTAAATAACAGAGCTGTGGCCACTGTAGGATAAGCCCTGGACCGCAACGTCATTTGAATTGCAAGGTCAGCGGTTCAAACTCAACCAGCCACTCCTCGGAAACCCTGTTCAGGGTGGTTATGAGTGGGAGCCATAACACTGAACAACAGCAAATTGGCTCCCTGTTCTAGAAACCTTAAGTCTGAATTCAGGGTGTCCCGAGGACTTCAGGGGAACATCCTTCCTTGTCGCTCAGGTTTTAGTGATCCCAGACACCTCTTGGTTTGTAGCTGCTACATGGATCTGCCATCCCTCGATGTCTCTCCTCTGTACCTGACTTTTCTCTGGTCTTTTATGAGGGCAACACTTAGATGGGAGTAGGGTCCACCCTATTCCCTTAGGACTGCACATTAACTGATAACATTTCAAAGACCCTGTTTACAAACAAGGTCCCATTCACAGGCATCAGGTCCCACCATTCGATCCCAACAGGAGGGAAGGCTGTTAACCTAAAAGGTGAGAGGTTTGAGTCCATCCTGAGGCACCACAGAAGAAAGACCTGGTGATCTACTTACAAAAAATCAGCCACTGAAAACCCCGTGGAGCACAGTTCTACTCAGAAACCCTTGGAGGCACCATGAGTCGGAGATGACTTTACAGCATCTGGTACCAGAAGAGATAAAGGAGGGACAGATAGGAATGTCCCCGGAAAGGCCAGAGTTGCCTACGCTGCATTGGTTGTTATGGATTGAATTGCATCTCCCCGAAAACGTGTGTTGCAGACCCTCACCTCTATGTCTGTGACTATGTTCTTGTGACATTTGTCAATGTCAATGAGACAAGATTGATGTGGCTAGTGTCTTTTATCAATATCTTTTGAGATATAAAAGACATTAAACAAGCAAGCAGAGACCCGGGAAGAGAGATCTCAAGCTACCTGGAGATCATTCACAGAGAGAAATTTGTCCCCATGAGCCGACACCTTGAATTCAGATCTGAATCGATGCGTCTGAAACACTAAGGTGTTGGTGAAAGTACCATGGAATAACAGAAGAACAAAAGATCCGTGTTGGAAGAAGTTCCACTCCTTGCAAATGCTCTTTAGACAGCGAGGCTGGGGAGACTTTGTCTCTTGTACTTTGGACTTATGATCAGGAGGGACCAGTCCCTGTAGAAGGACATTATGCTTGGTCACTGAAAAAGAGGAAGACCTCCAATGAGATAGATTATAACCACAATGGGCACAAACATAGGAAGCAGCAACACTTTGAAGGCATTAGCGAAAAAACAAGGGTCCAGAAATTGACAGATTACCGACTGAAATGCTTCAACAAAAGAGATGCCGCGCTGAAAGCTCTCACCGGTCTATGCCAAGAAATTTAGAAGACAGTTCCGTGGCCAGCCTCCTGGGAAAGATCCATATTTCTGCCCATTCAAAGAAAGGTAACCCCACAGAATGCAGAAATTATAAAACAGGATCATTAATACTTCGCACAAGTGAGATTTTGCTGAATAACATTCAGAAATGTTTGCAGCCGTATAGTGACAGGGAGCTGCCATCAATTGAAGCCGGATTCAGGAGAGGATGTGGAATGAGAGATATCATTGCTGACATCGGACGGATCTTGCTTGAAAGCAGAGAATAGCAGTAGAAAGATGTTTACTTGTGGTTTATTGACTAGGTAAAGGCATTCTTCACTACCACTCATCTGTCAGTCTGTCTTACTGTGGTGGCGTGCGTGCTGTCTGAAGTCGTTGAATACCGGCAGGATCACCCATGGCGGACAGGTTTCATTGGACCACGAAGAAGCCGGGGGTGGGGGGTGGCAGACACTTCTGAATGGTTATCCACTGAAAATCTTATCAGCAGATCGTTTTCAGATAGAGTGCTGGAAGATGACCCTCTCAGGTTGTAAGGCACTCAAAGTACGACTGGGGAAGAGCTGCCTCCTCAAAGTCGAGTTGGCCATGATGATATGGGTGAAGCAAAGCTTTCAGGACCAGCATTTGATGATGGGGCACAATTCAAAATGAAAAGTTAATAGCTGCAAACATCCATTAATAGTGGGGATAATGGGATCTGCGAAGCATGACTCTAGGAAACTTGGAAGTTGTTAATTGTGAGGATGATGCAGCACCGAGCAGTGAGCTTCTTTCTGTTGTGCTTGTGACACGTAACAACAACCAAGAGAAGACCTCTCAACCGTGAGAAACGGATTTCTGTTTGTTAAAGCCGTCCATCCACTGACTGTTCTAACAGCAGCAGAGAACTTAGACTCTGGTCAAGTTAAATTCCAAAGAAGCAGAGAAAACTACTTTAGAGCTTGGGCAGCAAGAAAAGAGGCAGTCGGGCCCTCGAAGGCTCTTCAACATGAGTGACCCAGGGAAGACTCAGAGACCACGGGGACCTCCACGCAGCCTGATTTCTGATTGGCTTGTTCTAGGAAGGGACTAGGCATTGTATGTTTCTGGCTTCCCTTAGCCTTCCTGGTGATTCTAACATGCATCCAAAACTGAGAACCAGAGAGCTAGGGTGGCAGTGTTTCTGATGCACAGGGGGAGGAGCTAGGCTCCGTCTACAGTGGACCCACAGACTGATGAGAAATCAGTGGCAGAGAGGAGTGTGAGTATGAACTCTTGTCAGTGTGGCCCGGACTACTCAAACCTCCATGACACTGTCAAATACAAGACCATAAAGAAGACATTCTGTCCTTGAAGTGCCCCCCTCCTGAAAAACGGCAAAGTAAACCAACAAACAAAAAAATAGGAAGAAGAAATCAAGATAAAAGCAGGAGTTGGTGAAATAACGATTCCAAAGTTAACTGTGTGCTCATCCAGATAAACAACATGTGCAGGAAACTAATGTGGGGGGGTGGGGTGGCAAAGTGTCTCTGAGTCAGTTCCGGCTCACAGTGACCCTGTATAGGGTTTCCGAGGACCACCTGACAGGTTTAAACTGTCAGCCTTATGGTTCGAAGTCCAGTGCTGACCCATAGCCACCCCCAACCCACCCAAATTTGACAACAGACGGAGACAGGAAACTGTAAATCAGCCTCACTTGTGAGGTGCAGAAATCCTAAAGAAAATACTAGCAAATTGATGTCAGCCACGTGTCAAAATTTAAAATACCTGATAGCCAAGTAAGGTTTATTTCTGGAATTCAGGGATAACTCGAAATTTGGAAATCTATTTATTTAATTCATTATATTCCTAAGTTAAAGCAGGAGAAAATGACTTCCTTGGTGGATGCCAAACAGCATTTGCTAAAACTCATGTTCCATTCTAAACTAGGATAGAGGAAGCGTCTCTTTAAGTGCCAATCAGAAACAAAATAGGATTGTATGCCATGGGAAATACTGGCGACATTACCGTTCAAAGCAGGGGTGAGATAGGAAGCCCACCAACACCACTGCTGCTTCTGCGTTGTGTGGGAGTCTCCAGCAATGCAAGAAAACAGTTTGGAATCAAATGTTGCAATTTTCTTACTTTACCCATGATGTGATTGTTTATCTAGAAGTCTCAAGACAAATTGATGATGGACAGGGAGAACAGTTATAGCGTTAAACATTCAGTTAGTAGCTGACTGCAAGGTCGGCGGTTCAAGCTCACCAGCTTCTCCTTGGAAACCCTAAACAGGGTCATCATGGGTCGGAATTGACTCGACAGCACTTAACAACAATCAGATCTATAGTAGTCATATCCATTTACCCACAAAGCTACAACCATTGAGTTGATTCTGACTCATAGCAACCCTACAAGGACAAAGTTGTTGTTACATGCGGTGGAGTCAGTTCCGACTCATAGCGACCCTGCACAGGGTTTCCGAGGCTGTAAATATTTACGGGAGCAGAAAGCCTCATCTTTCTCCAGCGGAACAGCTGGTAGTTTCGAACTGCTGACCTTGTGGTTCGCAGCCCGATTTGTAACCACTACGCTGCTACCAGAGCTTCTTCAAGGACAGAGTAGAACTGCCCTTATTCTCATGGAAGCAAACTGTCTCATTTGTCTCCTGAGGAGCATTTGGTGGATTTGAACACTTAACCGTGTGGTTACCAGCCCAACACTTAACCCACTACACCACCAGGGGTCCCTAACATCCGCTCAGGCTATATATATATATATATATATATATATATATATATATATA